GATCTATACACAGTCGATAGAGGCTGTTTGTTTACAGATTCATCTTCTTCATTTACTATGGGTCCAGTGGGAGTGGCCGAAAGTCTACTTTTTCGGTCACCTTTGGCAGCAACCAAGTTTCTAACCACTACTGGGGTCCAAGCCATTCTGAATTTCCGGAATCGTTTGTAGTGTGGACAAGGCCCTGCTCATGCTCAATCGGACTGGTAGTGGTTGTTTCAGGCATATTTTAGCATTTAATGCTACAGATGATGTATTCTTGGCGCGCTGTCTAGGCTTCTTCCTCAGTTTTAATGCGGGGCCTGATGGAAAGGACTGGGATTTACTCTCTGTCACGCTTTCTACAAATGCATCGTTTTGGTGCTCCTTTATTTGTTCAAAAATTTCTACTAATTTTTCGTACTTCTGCGATAGTTCATGTACAATCTTTACCAGTGGGATAACTATACACCCTGAACAGAACCACAGTGAATCTGGTTTACTATTGTGTAACTTCAACTGGTTCACTGTGAGCTTGAAATATTTGCGATGGAACTTGCATTGACAGCTGCTACACTGGATTCCAATCCGTACATTTTTATGGCATGAAGGAAGGCGACAAACTACTGTCGATCTGAATGCGGTAACATGGGCTTTTGATTGGTCAGCGCAATCCATTGCTTCGATCGATGGTATTCCCATAGAGGCGCGAGTGCTTATGGTTTTCTACCGGTCGCATATGCGCTGAATTGCCTCCATGTCCAAGGTCGTCACGTTCTGGACGTCTGGCCCGAGCGGGATAGGTTTGAGCGGCTAGGGTGTTCACGCGGCAAACTGGACGACAGGGATACAGACACAAAGTATACGATAGCTACTTTGATGAACGGTCTACGGTTGTGGTTACTGATTTGTCAGATGAAACGTGTAGTTAGCTTTCGTTTGAGATCACAACTATTTTTGTGTGGTTCATGATTCGGGAAATTCTTCGATTGTGTTTTTGTGGGAATAGCGCAAAAACCGCAATGTGGAGATCCACACAAGCTAGATCCGAAGGATGGAGTACACTAGACAGCAAAAGCTCGGGATGCTTTTGCCAGTTTCAGCCACCTGTGGCGCAGGCGCGATATCACTCGTCTTGAAGGGCAGAGTTTACTACACAATCGTGTATTCAGCCTCCCTATACGGTTGTGAAACGTGGCCCATCAGGTCGACAGATATAAAGAGGGCACTTCATCCAGGAGAAGCATTGTATTCCAGCAACTTTATGCTGTAATTCTGGGGAGCATTGGGCCCCTGTTTGACAAAGGAACAAGCGAAAGGCGTATGAACTGAGCAATCACTCATCGGCTCCCAATGGGCGTGATTCCCTGAACTCGTTCCGCTGCCTTGCAGGCATGCTATTCAACCAAAGGCTCGGGGTGGTGTAACCTAAGTCAACACCCTACTTCGGCTTGGGCAACCGGGTAGTATGTCGCCTTCTGAAGAAGCCATGGACTTTGATGTGTTGTGTTGTGTTTTCTTTTACTATTTCTATACCTTCTTTTGAGTCCCATGGTTTCTGATGGCTCTATGTCTCTCTCTCTCTCTCTCTCTCTCTCTCTCTCTATATATATATATATATATATATATATATATATATATCGATGTTTTCACTGCTTACTCTATGTCTGGTGGGAGCAATATGTTCGACACCGTGTATTTGGTGCAGGAAGAAAGCGTGAACTGCTCAGCACCATTATGTTGCGCACCAGCCTCCGATAGCTGGGTCACGTGTTGCGCACGCCTGCACTCCGACTCCCGCATCGTGCGTTGTTTGCGCACCCGGGGTGTAGATGGAGATGGAGGAGAGGAGCACAAGCGATGATTTGGTCGGGAGCAATGAAAATCCTCACTTCGAAGTTTGTGTCAGTTGGTGCATCCTGATATACTGACTGAGGACGATGATCACTTTTTATTGTTTAAACTTGCTGCTATGGCGAAGAGCCGATCCCAGTGGCGTTTGTGCTGTCAGCTTCTTTGTCCATCCCCTCCACTTTAGATTCGCTCTCCAATTACGATCACATACGAAATGCACAGTATGATATTTAACATTATATTACTTGCTTTTGAACTTTTTTTGTTGTCTGAACTTTTTACTTTTTTGTATTGCGGCGCATTAGCTGAGGTGTTTTTCTAACCCTCAGCTGATGTGTATTGATGCTTATGATGTGATTCTGTACAAGACACTTGTACATAAACCATTATATGTGTACATATGCACACATTGTTTACGAAAGTGTTATTCTTGACAGGAACGTGAGTGCTTTTCTGCAACATCTTGCTATGCAGATTTTGCCAGACAACTGTGCCTGTGGGATTGCATTGTCAGCCACCTCAACACTTTTTGGAGTATCATGCATTCTTCACATCATGCAGTCTCAAAATGAAAGGTACTTTCACAGCGTTTCCAGTCATCTGTTTGTTTTTTAATTCTGGGTGGTGAGAATGCGAAAACAGCTACACAACGACCTTAGAAGTCGCATTAGCACTGACGGGCTTAGTTCTAAATTTGCGAAGGTGTCGGAAGAGAATTTCTTTTGTTATCGTATGCCGTGTATGCAGAACCATAGCAAAGTTCATTATTATATAAGACAGAGAAACTTGGTCTCTTTGGTTTTAACGTCTCATCAGCGTTCGATTTTTAATAATCACAGCCAATGAAGTGGTGCTGACGTCAGATGACGCTGTTGAGCCCACAACCACAGGGGGAGAAGGCAAGTGTCGTGCAGCGTATCAAAGTGCAAAAGGTACTCTGCGCGTCGATCAGGGATTTCGTTGCTTGACAACTTAGCATACCCTCTACATAGTATCACAGCTGACGAATTTGGAAGGACATCGTGTCTCACTTGTTGATATCTGTTCCACGGTCTCTGTCTGACAACATGACATCCGAGAGCTGAGCGAATTATCACAGGTATGTTCTAATGGTTACTGTGTGGTCAGTCAATGCCTATTCCATGTTCTCAGGTTTACAACACTACATGTCCCCCAGCCAGACGGGAGCGGATCCATTTATCATCGGCATGTATGGACCGTTGATAGTCGCTTTAGCGTTTTGTCAACACGACAGCGAATATGGAGGGGTAACGATCAGGTCGGTTCGTTAGACCTTCACTTAAGGTTGAGTGTTTTGCGTTGGTTTAGACACTTGCCAAGAGTCGCTACTCATCTTCCTATGTTGAGTTGTGAAAAGTGTGTGCGATGAAGTGCGACTACTGGCTTGGGAACGGAAAATGAATTCCCTGAATATTGCACTAGTCGTTGTTGGTCCATCGCTCTCCGGATTAGAGCTTATGCGACCCTCAGGTGAGGTCTCTCGCAAGCGATATTAGTGACACATTTTATGCCACCCACATGGCCTTCAACAGTTCATCTCCCGGTCAACCCAGCCAAGTCTGCATTTATGAGCCTGGGGAAGCATGGTGACGGCCAACCGCTATATCCCACACCCTCCGTGAAGGACCTAGGTTTACTCTCGCGCTACAATTTGAAGTCCGTGGACAACACGAACAGGCTATGTCGTAACGGACTGCGCATGGTTTTGGCGCTCAGACGTAGCTGAAGAGCTTGCCACTCGCTTCTTCTCTCCCATCATCAGACCAGTGCTAGAGTACGGTTCGCCCGCCTACTTTCCGATTACCCGAGGCGAGGCACAAAAGATCGAACGGGTCCAACACGTTGCTACCAGGCTCATCCCGAATTTACGGGGCTTGGGGTATGAAGACCGGTGCGAGAAACTAGGACTCTACACCTTGTCCCACCGTCGGGTACGAGTCGACCTCATTATGACCTACCGTATTCTACATCTCGGTGACTTCCAGCTAATGCTGCACTTACGAGGGCCATGCAGCACACGCGGACGCAGATACAAACTTGTCGTGCCGGATGTGAAATGTGTTCCCCGCCCACTGTGCTTCGAACGGAGAGGTAAATATTTGGAGTAGTTTGTCTGAACATGTGATGGAGGCAACATCTGTGCAGCAGTTCAAAACGTTGTTAGATCTATATTTTACCACTATTCGATTCAGAGAACGATTGCACACTTATGATGACGTGTCACATTTGTGAGTCCTGCGATACCGTGAGTCAGCTATTTTAAATCTTACATGAGAACGATTACGATATCCACGACTGACAATTTTTATAACGTTTTCACCATATTTCGAAAGCGTTGTACAAAATTTTATTTCTACTTGCTCTATAATACAGTATTCAGTATTCTAATTGAGCTACCTCTGTAATGTATATCTCTGAGTTATCTTTGTGTATAGGCAGTAGAAGTCGCAAGCAAGATGTCTCTGCGACTTATTTTCCCACAGTGTCCAGTTGTTTATGAGCGTACTGTGTTGACAGCGGGTATTCCAAGGTGGCCAACTGCGACCGTGATGCAACTAGTGAATTAGCCAATTGATGAGACTAGTAACGATGTTTTGTGATCGGACACTTTAGTGTTGTACACATCTTCTGTTATGTATCCTTCAGGAACTCGTTATCTTTTACAAACTTCATCAATGTATTTGAAAATAGTTTCCCCTCTGATATCTTTTCCGTTAGTTTTCCAACTATGAGCTTGTTGGCGTTTTCTTTCATTTATTTTTGTTCTATTTGTTACCATGAGTCCTGACATCCGAATTTGGTGCATTTTAATACTATGAACACCGGTCTTCTTTCGAAGCCCATATTCTGTTGATTTTTGGCGCTCGTCTGTGTGAATTCCTCCTGCCCAATTGGAATACACTAATTTTTTCCAAATCTCTTTGATTGTTGCCTATTTGCACAAAGTAACCCCCCCCTTAGAATGGATACCTGTTATTTGCTCTATTGTCTTACAGGCACCAGTTGATCGGTTCGAGGTTTCCGTAGTGCAGCATTTGTAAAGTCTTATGTTTGTCTATTAACTCCATACATGCTCGTGGTCTTTTTACGGCCGATAAAACGAAGTGAATTTTCCCCACTTCGTTCCTCTCTTCCGTTACACACAGGCCGTAAGGGCGGGGGCTGCCATGATGGCCTGAATCAGCGGGCCAGTGAACCCTGGGAGAAAGCTGATGGTGCAGCTCGGTTGGTAGGCCAATTAGCTGAAATCGCTCCGAGTGTATTCTCTGAACACATGGTGGAGCAAATGTTGGAGGCTGCCAGTCACAAGCACTACACCCATTACGCGTATTTTTTGGAAACTGGTGAGTTGTTGACTTCATTTCCAAACAATTCGTCTCGTTGTCCGTGGTCAAGATTGAATACGGCTTTGCAAATCCATTTTATGTGCTTCCTGGCCAACAAAATATCTTGACCTTGTGGTTTGATATTAGATGAATACGTACTTTTTGGCATAGCCGGTGCAACTTACGTATCAATAAACTTTCACTTTGAACTACACAACAAAAGCGTGTGGCAATTGGGGTGCATCTGTGGAACTCGATTATCACGTTTCTTCAAGTATTTACACCACTTTCCCGTTTTTCCTTCTTTCGTACTGTTCCACTTGATTTTGTACGACCATTGCGCTCGACTTCACGAAAAGTTGACTTTTGGGTCCAGTAGGTTAAGTACATAAATCGTGGTGCGGGAACATTGTGTTGAATATAAATAAATAAATAAATAAACGTTTTATTCCTCAGCAGTGCGAGGCACAGACCAATTGGGTGGTCTTATCAACATTTGGGTGGTCTTATCAACATATCAGCCTAGTGTAAGCACTACATATATCATCTTCGTCAGCCTCTTGAACCTTTACGCTGCGCTGTATACTTATGTGAGACGCATTGTCATAGTCTTCCGTTTTTCAAAAAATCAGAAAGAGCCCTTATCCATGCTGCTATTTCCAGTTTTCTGTTAATTTGCTATACAGACTGCATAGTATGTTTATCCTGGAGACCTGCACGGTTTTCTTATTAGATTTTCGCACGCGCCGTTCCAGCTTGGCATGAAGTGTGTTCTTGTGTCCGCCATGGTGGTGATTTACAATACAAATGCCAAAACTTCGAGCTAGATGATCATTCGGTATCATTTCTTGCGGGACACTCCGTCGTTGAAGTGTCTCGCGTGGTCCGACTGATCTGATCGCTCATATCACCTGTACTTTTCTCTTTGTGCAGCCGCTGCTGTTCAGCATTACTGGGTCCATTTCGTCTGTGAAGTGTCCTAACTGTACCCAAACACTTCACATACACTCATCTGTCCTTCAGTTTCTAAACTCTCCCGTCGTGCCGATTCTCTTTAGACGCTACACTTGCAATCTATTCAGTGTCTATCTTTCTTTCTGACCTATTTCAACAACTGCACCTTAAGGCATCAATTTGAACAAGTACGAGTTCACACAACTGTCATCTGGAACTCCCGCTTTGCGTTCCTTACTTTAATTCTGTGTCACTCACTTTTTGTTAATATTCCTCTCTGAGGATGTGTTCATGTAAAAGATCGTCATGCGCACCGGAGCCTGTTGTAGAAGGCATGGACACACAATCAATGGTCACTTAAAGAATTATCGCAAACAATTGCAAAGCTTTAAGTCACTCAGCACAATTACAGCAACCTAAGTAACTGAGTATAGCTCATGCCCGAGCAATACTACTTGTTCTGATTATTATTTTTTAATTTCCTTCTCCATTTCACTGCACTCATGCTACTTTCTGTTCTTGAAGGTTTTTTCAGCAGCGTAAGCTGTCCATTTATGATTTGCCAGCTCTAATCTTTGGACCCCTTCGCTGCCATATGATCTTATCTTTTGAATTTATTTTGACGAAAGCAAATTGACCATCCCGCAAATCCCCATTGTTTCGTGAACTGAAAAGGTGGCATTGTTCGTTTAGCTTTATTCGTTTGATGAATCGAGTTAAATAACTCTTACCCAATTGAATTTCGTCGTTGGATACGCGCTTTTCGCGAACTCATAGCCTCACCCCTCCGTTACTGCACTCACGTCGACTTTCGCAACCGCTTGTCCTGTCCGACGTTTAATGCAAAACACCGGCTCCTGTTGTTTGGTCACGCAGGTTTTCGCAATCAGCAGATCGGTACAATCTTTTCGATCTCTAACTTGGCTACTTCTTTCGAATCAACTCACAAATAGGCTCACTAAAACCAAGGATAAGCAACCTGGAAATCATGTCTCGGACGGTTATGAGATGGACATTTTTTGCAACAAAGGCGGCAACAGATTACTAGCTCACGCAGAAACTTGCGCTGATACCCCACGGATACCTCCTTCGTTAGTTTAGTTAAAAGAGCTCCATTGACACGCGATTTTATGGGTCTGTTGCATATAATCCACTTCGTATATACATATATTCTCTCACAATAGGCGTTGTAGAATTTTATTTATTGCATTACTCCTTTACCTCATTAGATTACTTTATTTGTTGGCTCATCCAGGTCACTTTGTTATACACGTTTTCATTCAACCAACCCGAGCGGACACTTTTCCTCCATTATATCTCATACTATTTCCCAGTTTGTCGCGTAATCGCTCAACTCTGCAATGCACTGGAAAAGCCACGATTCAAACGACAGTTGGATAACTACCTAGTCGCGTTGACCGCCGCCATAGAAAGCGGGTTACCCCTAGCTGTTGCCGCTTCGGAGGAAACCCTTACTGTTCTCGCCAACCGTGTTGGTCCAAATGTCCTCCGCGGTCGCGTGGAAAATCACATCGATTCCAGAGTTGTTCGCTGTCTTCTTAATCGTCTACCTCCACCCATACTTTGAACTGTGGCCACTACCTTTGCTACTGATGATCATCGAATGTGTATTCCTATCCACTTTGCACGTATTCATTTCTTTATATCCCTGTTTTTTATTTTACCATGTGTATTTTGGTCCCTATCTCCCGATACCAGTCACTATAGTCGCTTTTATCTGAGTGAACGTGTCTGTCTAAGCGCTGATTATGCACACCATTATTTAGTGACTAGTCCTAATGCAGCCAAATCTGCGCCAACTGGCACTATTGTACGACAACTAGACGACGAAGTTCTCAACGCTTTCTCTCAAGCGCATAGGCTTCTAGGCCAAAATCTTTTTCATCCGCGCTGCTATCTTTACACCGACTATGTATGTGAGTCGATTACGTGCCTAGTGTTTGCCTTCCACGATCGTGACATAGTCACCTACAACATCTGCCAAGAGAATTGCATATAGAAGCCACAAAGCCCTTCCTCGATCCACTCGAAAACGCGTATGATCACCGTCGTTCATCCTTTGCCTTGATTCAGCAAGCCAAGCGAGCAAAACTCGAGCTGCGTCAATTCGTTGTTTGTGTTACTGGTCGTTAGTGTATACATCGTACCACCGCTCCAGTGTTGAGCTCACTGGACCATTGTACCAACTCTGTGAGAACTACAGATACATGGTTGGACTCCCGTCAAAAATAGTCCGTGGTCGAAATCGGTGACCATTACATTGGAAGCATTTGCTTTGTGCCTGTATTCGGACGAGTGTTTTCAATTAGGCTTGCGATCATTGGATAGCACTAGAAGTGGTTGAGAGAGATTACGGATGCTGTTCGCTTCGGATCCACTACCGGCACCGTTGTTGTTGTTCGGAGCATCTTTCTTGGCTTAGATGTTCCATTTGTTGGTTTGTGTCCCCCTATCTCTTTTGCTTAGGCTATTACTCATTATGTTGTTATTTTGTTAATCAGTGTTCTTTCACCTGGATTTCGGCGCAAGCATCATGGTTGAGCAACTGAAGTAACCAACAGTACTGTCTCACGAATTACCGCCGCCTATGTAAGGGATCCGCACTCAATCCCTCGGTCGTCCGTGTGTATCTTCTGATTGCTTAATCTGGCGCTCTTTTTCAGTCACCGACCGTTTGGGGTTTCGGATTCTGATACTTATTTGTGTGTTCCTGAGCATGGGGACAACTTATCCGCACAGGATAATCATCCTCAACAGCAGTACATCAGCTATTTAAACTGCTGCTTCACTGCTGTACAACCACGGTTATCTCTGGAACGAAGAACAATAAGAGGGTGAAAAGGGGGAGGTAGCATAAAGCCTTAATGCCCCAAACAAACATTCGAAATCAAGGCGCCTACACCTTTTCAACAATGTACCGTCACTATTGTGCAAAGTTTAGGCGCCATCTGCGAGACAGCTTCCTTGCGGCTTTCACTGCCCTGTGCCATACTCAGATAACTCAGAACCAAACACTTTAAACAGGCAGTTCAACGAGGACAGGAGATCAGACGCGCCACTGGTGTCGACTGCGAGCTATGTCCTGTAACATATCCAGTAAAGCGCAAGACGGGTAAGGTGGACTCCAACCTGAAAGGCGAGGCGTATTGCGACGCGCACTCTCAATGTGGACCGCGCTTCACATTGCAGTGAACCTTGGTCACTGCTATCACTGGAACCGTAGTCGAAGCAAATTGAAATTGGGTCTTGCCTCCCCGAAAATACTGCACAACCACGAGGCGTTTCGATGTCATGTCAGCGCATCAGGTGGGGATATCAGGCCTCGCACCCTCAACCATTAGAATAGTAGCCGAAACCTCTACCCCTTTGGCTACCGGTTCACGGCGGGCAACCTTTGTCACAACGGTGAAAAATTAATTGGATGGTCACTTTTGCACTACTCGCCGTGTGATTGGATTGCGACGTGCAATCTTAGTGTGGACCGCGGTTCACATTAAAGTGAACCTTGACCGCTGCTATCACTGGATCCGGGTTCAAAGCAGATGGAAATTGGGTGTTGCCCGCTTTCGAAAACACTGCACAACCTCGACGCTTTTTGATATCATTTCATCTCATCAGTTGGAGAATGCCGACCTCGCACCCGCAACCATTGGAATAGTAGCCGAAACCTCAGTTAATTTGGCTGCTAGGTCACGGCGGGCAATCTTTGGCACAACGGTGTATAACTAATTGGACTAATTTGGACTGCACGTTGTGTGATCGGATTGCAACTCGCAATCTTAATGTGGACCACGCTTTACATTGAAGTGAGCCTTGGTCACTGTGATCATTGGGACTGTTGTCGAAGCAGATGGAAATTTTGTGTTGCCCGCTTTCGAAAACACTGAACAATACGCGTTTCGATGTCATTCCATCTCATCAGGTGGAGATAGCAGGCATCGAACGCGCGACTCTTGGAGTAGTTTATAAAACCTTTTTTCTTTGGCTACTGTGTCACGGCTCGCAGGATTTGGCACGACGGTGAATGGATAATTGGAGGTGTTGCCGACACATCGGACTTGGGACCTGATCAACTGGCCAGGGAAACAAAGGATGGACGGGACCAGTACAGACTAATGAAGCTGAGTGTGTATTTGGGCCGTATAACACGCACAAGGAGTAAGGCAGAAGGTGGGAGTAGCAAGCTTAACCATTGAGCGATGCAAGACGGCTAAACTCTTATGGTTAATCAAGGTCCAAATGTGAACGGTAAAAAAATGTAACTGAGGTTTATCATGCGAAGTGCAATGAGCAATGAAGGGGTAGTGATCGGTCGTTTTGGGGTCAATCAATCAAGGAAATCTCAACATAGGTTAAACAAGTTACTTTTTCTGTTACACGAGGGTCAGTTTTGAATTACTCGTCGTTTGCTTGGATTGCGACTCGCAACTTTAGTGTGGACCGCGCTTCACATCGAAGTAAACCTTTGTCACTGCGCTCACTTGGATCTTAGTCGAAGCAGATGTAAACTGGATGTGGACTGCCCCAAAACACTGTACAACCACGAGGCGTTTCGATGTCATTTAATCTCATCAGATGAAGATAGTAGGCTTCGCACTTGCGACCGTTTTAAATGTTGCCCAAACCTCCAACACTTTGGCTACCGGGTCACGGCTAACAACCTTTGTCACAACAGTGAATGACTAATTAGATGGTCAATTTTTGACAACTCGTCGGGTGATCGTATTGCGACACGCAATCTCAATGTGGACCGCATTTCACATTGCTGTGAATCTTGGTCACTGGGACCGTACTCGAAGCAGATGGATATTTCGCTGTTGGCTGACCGAAAACACTGCACAACCACGAAGCGTTTCGATGTCATTTCATCTCAATAGGTGGAGAAAGCAGGCTTCACACCCGCGACCATTTTAATAGTAGCTCAAATATCTACCCATTTGGCTACCGTTTCACCGAGGGCAACCATTGATACGTATTACTCGAGTATTGCTGGTTTGCACCTGGACCCTTAGTCCGCGCAAGAAGTGAATAAGAACACACCGGATGGGACGTGTCAAAAACTGTAATGGTAGCTTGTAAGCTACACCAGATGAGTAAGTCGAAAAGGAACCAATCAGCACAAGGAAAAAGAGTGGACGAATCAGCTATCGGTCAATCGATCTGTATGTGTCTGTGTGTTGCTCATCGGTTTAGCGGAAGACACATGTAACCTCCCCTCACGTGACAGATGGAATCACAGTTGTGAAATGTAACGTTCTATCGGCTTAGGTGAGCGGTGCGGTTTCCGAATAGCAATCGGCTGATCGATTTCTTCCGTTTGGTTTTTGTTTGTCTCCTCCAGATATTCTGGAACCACTTTCTCTTCTCCAGGGTACGGTGTGACTGGGATGCGGGGTCGGATGAAATCATTGTGCCTGCGTACTGTCTCTCCACTCTCTAGTTGTATTTCGGCCTCCTTTTCTGAGCTCGTTAGCACGGTGCCAGGCTGCCATAACTGCTCATGTGGTAGTTTCGTGTAAACATCACGTTCCACTATCGACTTCTGGGGCTTAACTGGTGCGCGTCCACTTTCATGCATACGTTGTTGCTGGCAACGCCTGGTCTGACGAGCGTCTGGAAACAGTAGGTCTAGTCTCGTACGTAGTCGACGCCCAAACATTGCGTCCCCAGGACTCTTTCCGATAGACGCTAGCGGTGTGATCCGATATGCGAACAAGAATCGGTCAAGTTTGGTTCGTAACGAGCCATTACGCTGCTTTAGAAGACCAGCTTTTACGGTTTGGACCGCTCTTTCAGCTAAACCGTTTGACGCTGGATGGTACGGTGCGGAAATCATGTGATGAACGCCGTTGCTCCGCAGGTATTCTTTGAACGCTGCACTCGTAAATTGCGGACCGTTGTCAGTCACTAATGTTTTTGGTATGCCATGTGTAGATAGACTAGAGCGTACGCCATTGATTGTAGCTTCTGCAGTAGCGTTTGCAACAACATGCACATCAATCCATTTGGAGTACGCATCTACTAAAAGTAGCAACATTTTTCCTTCGATCGGGCCAAAGTAATCGGCGTGGACACGTTCCCATGGGCTGTCGGGCAACTGCCAAGGGTGAATTGGGCCTATTGGATTATCTCTTTGATATTTTTGGCATGTGTTACAAGTACTCAAAAGTGCTTCGATGTCTCGGTCAATCGCTGGCCACCAGCAGTAGGATCTGGCGAGAGCTTTCATGCGGACAATACCTGGATGTGCATCATGTAATTCTTTCAGTACAGCTGACCTGAGAGTCAATGGAATAACGATGCGAGATCCACGTAGGATACATCCTTCATGCAGGCTCAGCTCAAATCTGCAATTGAAAAACGGACGCAGATCACCAGGGGCTCGCGAACCCCAGCCACGCAGCAGCATACGTTTCACAGTCGATAGAACGGGATCTCTGTCTGTAGCTTTCCTAACCATGTCGCCAGATATGGGTGTAGTATTCAGGTGTTGCAGAAGTTGAACAAACTCGTAGGGCGCGTCACTTCTTTCCTCCTGTTGGTCAATCTGTGGTAATCTACTGAGCGCATCAGCGACATTATTGTGAGGACCGGCAATGTATCGGATTTGATAATTGTAAGCAGAAAGTAGGAGGGCCCATCGTACCATTCGGGGTGCGTTAAGTTGTTCTATGCCTCGTTCCTTACCGAGAAGTGATAACAGTGGTTTATGGTCAGTCTGTATCTCAAACTGGTTGCCCCACAAGTATTGATGGAACCGCTTTACTCCGAATACTACGGCCATCGCTTCTTTGTCTGATTGTGCGTAATTTT